TGTTGTTTTGCTGGAGCAGCTCTCACTTGCTCATTCCCTGGGTTTCTTCATCCGCTCTCCCTCCAACTTAATGCAGAGATGTTACAGATTATAGCTTTAACCTTGTAGTACAGTCGCACTCATGCAGGATCCTGTTTTCCAGAGTCGGCGCACTCAGTGAGGATGAAGACGAACTCTCCTGCGACCGGCTCTCTGGCAGGCAGGGTGGTGCTGCCGTGCCACTTCATAATGCCGGTTTCTACCAGCACCTTCACGCACACTCCCTCACTCTCCACGCCTTCGCCTGGACGCCTCCTCCCTGGTGACGCTCCCCACGCCACCCCGAGTCCTGCGGAGGAGCTGAGGATCAAGTGGACTAAGCTGGAGGGAGAGGGGGAGAAGGTGGTGCTGGTGGCCCAGGGTGGGGTGGTCAAGGTGGGGCAGGGCTACAAGAGCAGGGTGTCGGTGGCCAGCTACCCTCTGTCAGTCGGGGACGCCTCTCTGATGATAGTGCGGCTCAGGGCGAGCGACGCAGGGCTTTATCGCTGTGAGGTCATGCACGGGATGGAGGATACCCAAGACACCGTCAGCCTCAACGTCACTGGTGAGTAAAACAAACACATCCTGCCAAAGTCTGTGCTTTTATGGGTCGAATTAACAGTTAATATCGAGAGTCTACAAAAGGTGTTCAGTGACTGAATCCAGATGTGTGAAGTTGGCAGAGACGTCGAAGCTGTTTGCAAAGCAGAAGGTGCTATCGGAGAATTAATTCACATTATTTACTTTAAAGCTGCTTTAATAGTCAGAGTATTTAAGACCAGAAACTGCTTCTTCTTTTGTATCGTTAATCAAAATTGATCCCATTTTTGGAGGCCGCAACTTGTTCCAGAACTCATGAAACTTGGCAAACATGTCAGCAGTGGCGAAGATGTACGTATTCTGTGGGTGTCGCATATTGGCAGTGTAAAAAGGCTCGACAGCGCCCCCCAAAGAGCAGCCACAACGGCAAAAAATCAGTACATATGCACGTCATGTCCAGATGTACAAAAAAGCCTCTTGGACCAATACAACAGGAAGTCAGCCATTTTGAATTTAGTGGCCATTTCCTCCTCTGGAATTGATTGTTTCTTTAATTTAATTTAAAAACATATAATACTGTTAAAATACTACTAAATGTTTAATGAATGTATTTTTAAACAAGTTTTGCATATCCTGTAATATTTAGTTTCGATATCAGCCGGCTACGTAGTCATGTTCATACATCCGTGATTAGTTCGGAGCTAAAATGTGATGGTAAGATAATGTTCGGAGGTCAAATGAACAGTTCAAAAACTCTGGATTTGTGGACCTAATTATCTCTGGTTCTTCAACCAGTCCGGATTCCACATCAGTCAACAATTAATAATCTTATCAGGAATAAATCTGCCTCCTGTGTGAACTGTTACAGTATAAACAGTAGCTTGGATATTAAAGTCGCAGCTACTTCATGTATTAAAGTGAAGTGAATTATTTCTGGGGGCAGTTCATCCGGTGGAAACCCCAGAGAGCCGTGTGGAAGAATATCGGACAACCGATCCAACCCTCGTTCCCAGACATTTACACAGATTCCACATTAATACTGAACAGGACTCTTTGTTGAGCAGCTCCGGACAAAGACGCTCCCTATGAGTGACACACAACTCTCCATTTAACGGCTCAGTCATCTATTCACGTCCTCCTGCAGCTCTGCCAGGATATAATCCTCCCATCCAGCTGGAAATAAAGGACCTAATGACACAACACAACAGTTACATATAGTCCGAGGATGACAGCTGAAATAGATAACTGGCTTGTGTTTCTCTGTACCGACATGAGATGATCTGGAGTTCAGGAGTGAATCTTTAGTGTAATAATGCCAACAGGAGATGGTCACCAGGTAGAACAGGTGTCCAGTATTTCTTCTGTGTTCATTATCGTAGCAGCCAAAGATTTACAGCAGCTATAGGCACTAGTTTTCAAACCATTTGAGATAATAGAAAATCTGCCTAAAAATCTGTACATTTGGTAAACACATGATAATTTACCAAGAATAAAATCACCTTATATCGTTTTACATCCTTTATATTTTGTATCTAATTGTTCTTCAACTGAAACCAGAACACAACAAATGTTTAGGATGACTCCTCATCAAAATCGTGTGAGCTAATGTGACGTAAGCCGGTCAAAGTGCGTTCACTAACAGTAGTTGTTTCTGCCACTGACGGACTCAGGTTTTGTTATTGTTCAGTGTCTGACAGCATTATGTAAGATCCTAACAGGAGCATAGAGCCTTTAGTTTAACCACAAACAAGCCGTAATATCACTATCACCTCTCCAAACCAGACTCCAGGGAGGACAAAAACACCCTCATTTTACCTTTCAGGATCCCATCGCTAACTTCATTCAAAGTGTGAACAGAAACAATATAAACTGTTAAAAACCGTCTCTGTTAGTGTTTCCACCAAGAACACCAACTCTGGTTTGGTGGATAATAAATCCTTAATTCACGACAGTAGGGGATGGCATTAAAAAACAGCAGTTTCAGTCGGAGCAGACCGGCTATGGAAACAAACCACAGAGAGGCGCATTGAGGATGTTGTGAAAAGAAGAGCTTGAAATGAGACTCTGTGTCTAACGTTGTCCCTCCAGGTGTGGTGTTCCACTACAGAGCTTCAACCAGCCGGTACACTCTGGACTTTCCTGCAGCCACGGAGGCGTGTCGCGCTGCAGGCGCCGCCATTGCTACACCTGATCAGCTGGCGGCTGCTTTTGAGGACGGCCTCGACCAATGTGACGCAGGCTGGCTCGCCGACCAGTCGGTCAGGTGTGTGTAACAAGTCTCCACATTGTCACATCTTATTTATCTGAGTTTGATTTTTAAGATAAAAATATTGCATCTTGTTTCCAATGCAAATCAACTTGTATTTTCTAAAATCAAGGTTCATTTTTCTTGGTTCTAGTGCAGCAACCACTCCACAAAACACTTAAAACAAGTTGATTTCTGCAGGTTGACTGATTCTTATTGCAGTGACAGAAACTCTGAGATTTTTTGCAGTTAAATTCTGTGTTCATGCCTTTATTGTTTCTTCAGATATCCAATCACACTGCCCCGTCCTGGCTGCGCAGGCAATCTGCTGAGCCGACCGGGAGTGAGGACTTACGGCATCCGCGACCCCACCGAGAAATACGACGTGTACTGCTACGTAGATAAACTAGACGGTAAACACGCAAGTACTAATACATTTAAAGGGATCAATGTCAACCTCATGTCTGTGTGTTCAGTACAGAGCTGGAGTCAGGATGTGGATACTGAGTCACACCTGCAGATGATTAATTGATTGATGACGTCGTACTTCATGGAGTAAAAAAGTTCCTGTACTGAACCTTTAACCTTATATAGTATAACTGTCTGTCTGCAGGCGAGGTCTTCTACCCTCCATCCCTCAGAGATAAACTCACCTTCCAGGAGGCCAGAGAGGAGTGCGAGAAGCACGAAGCCATGTTGGCGTCACCTGGTCAGCTGTTCGCAGCCTGGAGGGCGGGACTGAACCGCTGCGACTACAGCTGGCTGTCCGACGGCAGCGCCCGCTACCCCGTCACCGTCCCCAGGCCTCAGTGTGGAGGAGGCCTGCTGGGCGTCCGCACGCTCTACAAGTTTGAAAACCAAACCGGTTTCCCGGACCCGACTGACAGGCACGGAGTCTTCTGCTTCAAGGGTGAGACTGAAACATGCACAGATACGAGTCTGCTACCAGTTTCCTCTACAGACACATCAGGTGTCTTTCCAACAAAGTTTGGTTGAAATAAACCCTTTATTCACAGAGTTAGATGCATCTCTAGTCCAAATATTAAGCAATGGGTGATTTTCTTTGGCTCTGGGGTTGAATTTGAATAATTTTAAGAGACACAAGAGGGTAAAAATATCCAGTGTTTCACAAGAAACAAGAAGTCTGAATCCGTCTTCCTGTCCTGTTAATGATCTTGAGATCCATCAGATGTATCTGCAACCCCCTTCTGTGTGTCGTAATATTTTAATGAGGAAAACCCATCAAGTGTTGTTTCTTTATGCAACAGTTACAGATTCAGTGACGCATCGGCACAAATTTAGATCAAACCTTTCTGAACGCTCCAGACCGACCCCCACTCTGTAAACGCTGAGGTGTCCTGCAGCACAAACAGAGAGGGACGACAAAGGAGAACAAACCCAAACAAGAGGAGAATAAACTGCCCTGTTTATGGTGGGGCACGTTCTTTTATGAGGGGAAAACCCAACTCATACACTCTAACATAGATACAGCAGAAAGGGGACAGGTCCCTAATGCTTCACAGCTGGACCCTGCCCAAACAGACAGACAGACGGGCGGACGGACGGACGGAGGGAGGGAGGGAGGGAGGAGGTGGAAAAGCTCTCCCATAAGTAACATCATCATTAAGAAACACTTTAAACAGAGAGGTTAGGTTAGTCAGTGTGAAGTAGGTATGCAGCAGGAGGAACCTTTAAGTATGATTCTTTACAGATGATATAATTACAGTCACATGTTTGGCAACCTGAAGGTACTTTCTGGACCTGGAAGCTGCGTAATGTTGTCCTGCCAGCGATTAAGTGAGGTGGCAGAGCAGCAGTAATGTACAGTAAAGTGACAGCACGAAGACGGGACCCTCAGCCCCCCTTCCTCCCCCCCCGGGCCAGCTCGCCAAACACATGACATCATATCTGGGCAGGGTCCTCCTTCATGGTGTGAAAGAGCAGACCGGAGCTCAGCTAATCCCCAGAGTCTGCAGGCAATAAACACCTTCAGTGTGCAGAAGATGAAGAAGAACTCAGAAAAATGCATCAAAAAGTTATTTTTCTGTGACAGATAAATTATTATAGTATAACATTATGAGGTTGTTAATGCTGCATGCTTGTGTCTGTTTTATATCAATTTAATTTTAATATCTTAAGTCTGGAGTTTCAACTGTTTGCTAGTTTAGGGCCCAACATAGGGGTCGCGGCCCTCCAAATGATCACAAGATAAACCACAAGGGTCCTGAGATCGACATAAAAACGTTTAAGATTAAAGTCTAGTTTTTTTTAAAATACTTTTGAATTTTCAGTTTTTAAAACTCATTTAATTTACTAAATGAACATCATGCTGTATGGAAGAAGACTAAAACTAGTGACTGAGACCAGAAACTCATTCCACGGAACTGTTTACTGCAGCTCATAAATCAAACGCAGGGAAGTCGGCTCATTTCTCCATAAGACTCAATACTACCAGACTTATTTTTTGCAACCAGTTTGCCAACCAACCAACCCTGCTGGCCATGCAGGTTTAAGACATTTGAAAGACCCAGAAGCTCTGATGATTTTCCGGTTTATAATCGTATGGTGGCCCAGACATTAATCAGATATAATTATTGATTAATTGATTACATCAATGTGGATGCTCTTCTCCTGAATCCTCCCGTCTACTAACAGGTAGCAAATCGTTGCTGCCCTCTGGTGGTCGGGAGTATTAACATGTAGACAAACGTTACTTTATTTAGTAACTAATTACTATTTTTCAGTAACTCTGCTAATTATCTGCCGTCAGCGGGTGAAGTGGACGTATAAAGGAGCATAAACTAATACTGCAGTTAATGTGCATGAAGAGGAGAATATAGGAGGAAAATAAAGAGGGAGAACGGGAACTCCACCTAACCCCTCTCCTCCCTGCCCCGTCCGTCCATACGTGCCCGACAGCCGGCAGGGTGGGATGGAGGGGAGTCGATTACGTTCCGTTTATTGAAGCATTATGTCAGTGCAGTCTGCTGCGTACTCCCAGGACAGCGACTGTATGAACTCAGACCTACACAAAGGACAGCATTGTATGTCTCATATGGTATGTATTCCATCATAATGCGATATAAATCTGCAGCCAGCATCACAAAAGGAAGAAACAAAAGCCTTCTGGAGGGTAAAACTCAGAGGAAAAGTGAATTATCTCAATAGAAGAAAACTTGTTTTTAGTTTGTTTTAAAACTTAAAAGTTCCAGTTTGACTTTAGTGAAGAAATTTTTCTCTCTTTTGAAACTGTGATTTTTCATTGTTTGGGTGCTTAAAAATGTAATATTTGCAATTAGAAATATTCAATTATTTACGGTTTTTCACAATTTTCTTACAGGTTTTTGAAATAAATTTAAACAACATTTAAACAAAGACAAATCTCACAGTTTTTAAAAATAGCAGTAAGTAAAATAATGTTATTAAAATACAGAATTTTCAGTTTTTAAAATGGTTTTTAGTTTCTCTAATGAAGAAAAGTTAATTATCATTAATTATTAGCAGTTTATTTTAAAAAGTTAAAAGTTAGTTTGACTTTTTGTCACGATCCTTCAGATTTCTTCTTGTGAGCATTTGAAGGGCCACGACCCCTATGTTGGGAACTCAACAAGCAAACAGTTTAAAATTATATAAAATAGACACAAGCTTTTATTATTATTTACTTTTCCTTTTTAGAAAACCTTTCTTTAGTTTATAAAACAGAAACTAGTTTGTGTGTTTAGTCTTTTCCTCATGTTGTTACATATTTAATATAATATTGAGAAATAAATCTTCAGTCAGCATCACAAAGGAAGAAACTAAAGTTTTCTGGAGGGTTCAGAATATGTTTAAAGATTCAGGAAGTGCGTCTGTTAGCCGGCTCGTAAAAATCTCTGCTCAGACATCATTTCCTTAAAAACAAAGCTTTCTGGCCACATTCAGTAGCGACTGTTATTCAGGTCTGAAGCTGTTTTATTTTTGACAGGTGACTTCATGTTTCAAAAACAAAAGCTGCTCCATATCCTTTTATAGGCCGCTGCGAGCTAACGGCTGTTTGATTAGCGTTGTCCAGATAGTGCGGTGTTATTTTCTCAGTGAGTCATGAAAATACTGATTCATTCTGTAAACATGTTGCCTGGACCCAGAGTCTTTACTTTAACCTTTATTTTTAACACGATAGATCAAAGTTGCATTATGTAGCTCTGGGCTGAAATCATTTGAGCTCTTTGGTGAGAGATTTATTGGCACTTCAGTTGTAAACATTTCACTCAATCATCCATGAAGCTCACAAACTGAAACCTCAAGTAGAAACATGATTTACTCACATGAGATGGAGTGACATCCATTAAATTCAGTTTCCATATGTGAGTAACTGCTGGTTACAGAATAGTTTGATTTTAACGATCTCCTCAGCGTCTCCTGGATAATGTAACGGCACTACAGCTTCTGTGAGTAGTCAACCTCTGAACTGACGGAAATCAGACCCCAGATCCCCATTTCATAAGAGTTTTTGCTTTTAGATGTTTAATTTAGACGTGATTTTAATACTCAGTGTTTAGTGTTTCACTCCACCATCTCTCCTCTTTGCATGTCCACATGTGCATGTAGTGTGCATTTTTTGCCCCTGTGTGTGTGTGTGTGTGTGTGTATAAAAAAGAGTGAAAAAAAAAATATTTGCCCTAGGGGATCAATAAAGTATATCTTAAGTTATTCTTCATCAGTTTTCAAGGACCAAGGTTCATCCAGTGGAACATCGACTTCAAGGTTTCTGTTTGGTCTCAGTTGCTCAACTCTCCACAGACTGACTGAGTTCCTGTTCTGTGTTTCCCCTCTCTTACAGCTAAACTACCAGAGCCCACTACCACGAGTCCACCGATGACCCCAGCTGAGTACAATCCCGACGGCCCTGCGTTCACTCCAACACCCGGACCCCTCTTAGACCCCGAAAGAGCTGAAATTCAAGCAAGAACACCAGGTCTTGTTGCACAATCACCAACGCAGAGACCACACACAGCCTCACCAGACCAACATGGAGTCCCCCCCGCAGAGACGGACCACACCACTCCCGTGTTTGACTACGACGTTCAAGATTTCCAAAACTCACACAGCGTAGAGTCGGTACCAGTTAGAGGAGACATTTCGTTCCCCATCCAGATCCCTCCTTTACCCACCGCCCGCTCGCAGGCCCCACACCTTGACATCTCCCAAGGGGGAGGCCCGTCGGGTTCAGGCCGAGGTGAGAGCAGCGGTAGCGGTGAGGCAGGCAGCAGCGATGACGGCTCCAGTGGGGCTGAGGTGACCCCAACACACTGGGTGGAACCCACATCAACACCAAGTTGGCCTCTCGATACCACCACAGAGCATCTAGAGAGCTCCTCTGCCCCTCCAGGACCGGGGCAGTGGATGGAAACCACAACGAGACCGTCAGAGCTTCTGGAGATCACTCCGGTAGTGGTTCACACCCCAGAACCAGGACACCCAGCCGGGCCCAGAGAGGACGGACCCGCTGTTGTTTTTAAAGAGGATGTCACTCCTGGAACTGCGCTGACCTTTGACCTCGACCAATCAGCGGCCGTTACTGTAGGCGGGGAGTCGTCAGGCAAACCCCCGTTTCATCTCATAATCGTCAATGTGCACGACCGGAATCAGTCAGGTGAGTTAAAGCGTCGATCAGGAATCTCGCCGCTTACAATACTCACATATTGGAGCCGCATCATCAGTACAGAGAATCCAGTCAATTTTTAAAATAAAATACAGAAGTCAGCCAGAAGTCAACCAGTCAGAGGAGATTTTAAGATGAGAAACACACCGTTATGTTGCGTTTTTAGGGACAAAATACACAACAATATGACCGGCAGCGCAATCTGAAGACACTAAAACGCTCTCATGCGGATCACGAAGCCAAACAGTTGGTGGCTGTTAACGAAAGGCCAAACCACAATAAAAGTTTACGGTTTTATTCCATTATTTATTTTATTATTGTTGTCGTGTAAACTGGGCCTTAATGTGAACGTTCAATATAACAAATTTGGATGAATCCAATGAAAATATACAATAAAGAGAACATTTTCATGCCATTTTTTGACATGATTGAAAATAAACTGCATACTGACACATTGACCATAAGCAGGTCAGACCTCAGTATGAATGCTGTAAAGGACGAGTGTTAACCAGTCATCTGTCTGAAATCTCTGATCCTCGACTGGACTCTTGTATTTGCCCCTAACCCAACCGACAGTCTCACATTACAGCGAGAACATTTCTCTTTCAGAATGACCTCATGTTTGTTACGTTGTGCTGTCGGGGACTTTACAGTAATCTGATTTAGTGCCGTTTGTTGTCTATGTAGGAAACAACTAATGGTTTGTTACCTTTGTGTTTGCATGCTGACAGATTCTCCCACACACACACACACACTGTTTGCAGAGCCAGTCGTGGAAACTCATGAAGTCATAAATCTTCGCTCGGCCAATTTTGTAGCTAAACATATTGTAAACACATCACAGGGAAAGCAGCACACCCTCATGAATAATCAGATACATCAGAGCAAATGGAGCTTTCCCGTCACTTTTCTCTCATTTGCTCGCACACACAAAGACACACTGGTGGTCCGATGGAGTGATTAACCTCCGGTCTCTTTAACCAGCTGTGAATTAGTCAAATATCTGAAGAAAGAGCCGACAACAAACCACAAATAGTTACCCTTTATTGTCTTTTCTCAAGGGAGCTGCCTGAATTGCCTAAACTAACAACTTTTCCCCCAATCTCCACAATCTCTTTCTTTCCCTACATTAGTCTGTACTGATTGTATTTCCACCAAGGATGGATTACTGAACTTACCAGGCACAGGCCCAGGGGCCCGAGGGCTCAGGGGACCCCAAAGCCTGAGCGTCTGGTTAAAGTGACGAACATTTCTTGTTGGAAAGTCCAAGAGCTCAGTCAAAAGTACTGTAGGGATGTGTTTTTTGCTGTTGGATCCCTACAGAGATAGACCTTTAGTTTAACCAGAAATAGCCGTAATATCACTATCACTCTCCAGAGACAAAAACACTAATTTTAACTTCAGATCATTGTAACTTCATTGAAGTGGACAGACACAGAATAAAACTCATTAAAACCGTCTCTGTTAGTGTTTGTCCCAGTGGAACACCGGGGACTTCAAGGGTTTCGTTTGGTTTCTGCAGTGCTCCAACCTCCACGAGGGAACGTGATCTGGTGCCTGGGTTTCTGCTGTTTTTTCTCCCCCTACGCGGTTACAGCGAAAACTGACAGTGATTCCCACTACCGTACGTGCGGGATGTGTAGTGCCTTATACCCGATGGACACCTCGGGGGAAGGCTGGAGTTACTTACTCTACTGGCCCTGCGCTCACTCCAACACCCGGACCACCTCTTTAGATCAGGTATCCGAAAGTGCGTATGTGAAGATTCCAAGCTAGATGCTTTGAACACCAGGTCTTTGGTTGCGCAAGTCCGACCAACGCAGTAGACCTGAACGGACACTTCCAGCCTCCCCGAACCGGAAGACCGTATATACATGGACGTCCCCGTGTTCCTGCCCGCGGCAGAGTGGACGTGAGCCACGGACCACTTCTGTCCCCTGCGTGTGTGTTCTGTTGGACTACGACTGTTGCGAACGATTCCAAAAATCACTAAAGCGTTAGAGGTCGGTACTCAGTTGAGTAGGGTGAAGACATTTGGGGTCGTGTCGGCCTAGTGCTGGCGATCCAGATCCCCTCCTTTTTATCCGCACCGCGCTGCCTTATTTAGTTCTTGTTGGTTTTCGCGGTGTGAGAGCCCCTTAGCGACCCCTTGTGAATCTCCCCAAGGTGGGGGGGAGGGCCGCGGGTCTTGGTGTTCAGGCCGAGGTTGACGAAGTGCATGCGTAGTGCGCGTTTGGTTTGGATGGAGGCCAGGTGCATTCCACTGATTGACTTGGCTCCGCAGTGGGGGGCTGTAGGTTGATCCGGGCCACATCTGAGTTGGTTCTGGGTGGAACCGCTACCAGTCTATACACGGGTTGGTATTAGAAGTGGGCCTCGGTCGATACCCACCAGCTAGAGGCATCTTACAGAGAGCCTCTTGCCATCCTCCCAGGATCCTTGGTTGTTGTTGATGTGGGCGATGTGGAGTGTGGAAACCGACTTTGTTTGCACGAGACCGGCTTGTTTGTGCAGTAGCATTCTGTCAGATTGCACGCGGCCCCTGGTAGTTGGGGTGTTTCAATCTACCCCAAGAACCAGTGGTACTGCATCCGCTGTTGAGGTGGGTGTTTGTGGTGTAAGCTCCGGGGCCAGAGAGGTGTACGGATCTCCTCCGCTTGGGTTGTTTTTTGTGAGAAGAGGATGTGCAGCATCTGAACGCGCTGTCCTTTGACCCTCAGGCAGGATGCCAATCAGGCAGGTTCCGTTAGCGTTGGGAGGCGGTGGAGTTTTCTCAGGCAAGACCTGGAGTGTTGGTGTTTGTGGTGTTTCCGGAGTTTGTGTTATTCTCATTAATCCTGGGTTGCATGGTTTTGTGCACCTGACTCGTTGGTTTTATCAAATGTCAGTGTGAGTTAGAAGCGTCGATGGCAGATTGAGAGGACTTTCGGGGGGCCGGCTACAATTATCTTCACGAGTATTGAGGCCGGCGAGCATCTAGTAAGGGGAGGGAATGCAGCCCATTTTTGTAGAAATAGGAATGTAATGAAGAAGTCTAGTCCAGAAAGTCACCGTCATGGTGAGGAGAGATTTAAGTAATTGTAGAATAATCACGACGTGGTATTTGGTTTTTTTTGCGTTTTTATGTGGACATAAGCATATCAGCAACAGATTGATGACCGGTCACGGCAATCTGAAGACACTAAAAACGCTCTCATGCGGATACGAAGCAACACAGGTTGTGGCTGTTAACGAAAGGCCAAACCAACAATAAAAGTTTAACGGTGTTTATTCCCATTATTTTTTATTATGTTCGTTAAACTGGGCCTTAAAATGTGAGACGTTCCAACTATACAACAACATTGGATGAATCCAAATGAAGTGAAATACAATCAAAGACGAACGATTTCATGCCAGTTTTTTGAACATGATTGGAAAATGAAGACTGCATACTGACACATTGAAGCCATAAGCAGGGTCAGACCTCCAGTATGATATGCTGTAAAGGACGAGTGTTAACCAAGTCATCTGTCTGAAATCTCTGATCCTCCCCGACTGGACTCTTGTATTTGCCGCCACTAACCCAACCGACAGTCCACAAACCAGCGCGAGAACCATTTCTCCTTTCAGAATGACCGCTCCATGTTTGTTTACGTTGTGCTGTCGGGGACTTACAGTAATCGATTTAGGCCGATTTGTTGTCTACGTAGGAGAACAACTAATGTTTGTTACCTTTGGTTTGCATGCGAGCAGAGTTCTCCCACCACACACACAGCACACTGTTTGCAGAGGCCAGCTTGGAAACTCATGAAGTCCATGAAATCGTCGCTCGCGCCAATTTGTAGGCTCAAAAATATTGTCAGACACATCACAGGGAAAGCAAGCACACCCTCCATGAATAGCAGAATTACATCAGAGCACAATGGAGGGCTTTCCCGTCACTTTTCTCCTAATTTGCTCGGCACGACGACAAAGACACACTGTGGTCCGATGGAGTGACTTAAGCCTCCGGTCCTCTTTAACCAGCTGTGAATTAGTCCCAAATATCTGAAGAAAGAGCGACAACAAACCGCACAAATAGTTACCTTTACCTCGTCTTGTCCGAAGGGAGCTGGGCCTGAATGCCAAACTAACAACTTTTCCCACCCCAATGCTACACCATCTCTTTCTTGCCCTACAGGAGTACTGTATGATTGTAACTTTCCACCAAGGAGGATTTACTGAACTTACCAGGCACAGGCCCCCCAGGGGCCCGAGGGCTCAGGGGACCGACCCAAAGCCTGAGGCGTGCTGGTAAAGTGAGCGAACATTTTTCTTGTGGAAAAGTCGCAAGAGCTCAGTCCAAAAGTACTGAGGGATGTGGTTTTTTGCTGTGGATCCTACAGAGGATAGACCTGTTAGTTTAACCAGAAATAGCCGTAATATCACTATGAACGATCTCCAAGAGACAAAAACACTAAAGTTAACCTTCAGATCATTGTAACTCATTGTAAGAGTGGACAGACAACAGAATAAAACTCATTAGAAACCGTCTCTGTTAGTGTTTCCAACAATCACCAACTCGTGGTTGTCGTGAAAATAATATCCTCAATTCACCGACGTAGATGATAAAAAACAGTGCAGTTTCAGCCGAGCAGACCGGCTATGGAAACAAACCACAGAGAGGCTGCGATACAACACAGGCAGAGGAGAGAGACAGCCATGTGACTCTGTGTCTGTATATAGAGAACAGCTGTTTGCTAAAATATATAAATGTTTTATATCTCACGTATATATTACCTTTAATACCAATAACATTCTCAGTGAGGAAGGCACGAGGGAGGCCTAATGTCAAGCGCCATAAAATCACTAAATATGAGTGGGAGGGAGTTGGTGCAGGGGCCACTCACATCCCCACCCGCATACACTCACTCAAACAGTCCTCATGTGTTTGTTAGCCTCCAGCCAAGTGGTGCCATCTTCCAGGAGTTGTTTATTATTGAAATGTCGAAGGCGTATTCTGTTGCAAACGTAATATATCATCACATGAAGCAGGTCTGGTTTGTGTGAGGCCCACAGACTCACTGTTTCCACGTCTTGAGGAAATTAGGAAAATTGAAGCATTGAGTGTCTTAATGAAAAGTTCCTGTTTCATGCAGTATCAAGTTCTGAGTCACACAGAAATTTTTCTTTACTTTGGGCGACATGTTGCGGCTAACACAGGTTAACTAGTTAGATTGGCCAGTTCAAAGAGGAGCTCTCAATCCGGTCACAGTGTGTGTCTCAGGTCTGTGTTTACATCACGTTTTTGCACATTTTTACTCCAGTTCCCACGATACACTACAGCTTCCATGTGTACCATAAAATCTTAATGAAGAGACACAGGCATGCATTGTTCGGGAGATCAGCCCCTGGCATCGACTGACCTTAATCATAAGCTCAATGTTAACCATCAAGATATGCACTTTGGCTTGTTTTAATAAACAAAAGAAATGAGCTGCCAAAGAAAGAGGAGTTGTTTTTCAGGCTGTGTTTAAACCACAATTTCTGCACTTGGTTCCCTCATGATCGAAATAAACGCAGCAAAAGTGCCCTCTGGATGCCCCTATGATGGATAAAACATGACCCCCAAAATAGATGAACATTAGTTAGACCCCTAGTGGAGAAAATGCCCTTATAATTTCCCAGATTAACCCTCTTCAGATTGCTTGTTTTATCTCCATAACCATGCACATTATTGCCTGTATTTCACTTTTAAATTTGGCATCTTATGTTTCTATTTCTTGTTGTTGTTGTCTCTAGTTGACGATATCCTGGACATCTTGAACCAGCCTTTGAACGGCATCGGTGGCTCCCATTCCCACATCCCTCAGATCACCGACTTTTCGCAGGTGACCAGCGAAGCCATCCAGGGCAGCGGAGACGTCGATCCTCTCAGCCTGCCTCCAACTGTCAGCTTTGTCAATGGAAAACATGAGGTAACGTCCATCCAGTGGAGTATATACTATAATAACGGCTTAGACTGGGGCTCTCGGTTGTGATTACATTGTAGTAAGTTAGTTAGAGAGTTACTAATTAGTTGTAATTCATTAGAATAGTTCGATGGAATTGGCAAAATCAGATCTGTAGACAGCAGCTAAAAAACAAAAGTGAGGAGCTTCGACTGACAAATAGTCCAATAGTGGACTCGGGGTCTTCTCTACTGATGACTTGAATCATCAAGTTTTGAGGGCAGTCCTAAAGATGCCCAAACCTAAGTGAAATCAAAGTTTTAATAAAACCAAAACGATCTGCTCATTCTTCTTTTTTTACTCATCTATCTACTTTTTAGGTGACCTTTGAGCCAAGGCTGTTAGAGGAAGCCAGAGGAGATACATTTGAGACAGCCACTCCTGTTCGGGTTGATGAGGTGGACAAAGAAGAAGAGAAGGAGAACACAGATGTATACCCGGATGTAGTTGCAGATTCAAGGGTCTCTGATGTCTCTACTGACTTAGATGGAGACAAAACTCAAGAACCAGGTGATCAGACAGCAACAAGAACCACCACCATGACACCATATACACTCCCTGTCTCATCTCCGGTATCCACCACACCATCAGGCCCGGTCGTCCCCGGTGTCTTCCACTCTGTCACCGATGGGGTCTCCACTTACGAGGACATTGAAGGCTCTGCGAGCTTTGGCACTGATGACGAGGCCGGTGCTACCCAGGAGGGCTCTGCAGACGATGCTCTGCCCACCCCGGCTTCAGGCAGTCAGTCCGGTGTGATGACTGACGAGACTGAAATCGGAGGGACGGAGCTTCCCACTTTTATCCCAGACACACAGTCACGGGAAACCACCACAGAGACCCAGATTGAAGACTGCGAAGGGTCTGCCTCTGGAGAAGACGAGGCTTCAGGACAAGATGTTTACCCACCAGAGATGCCCGAGTTTACAAGTACTCTACCACCAATTTATTCTACCCCTCACACCCAGCAGCCTCAACCTGCAGCAGGTACCGAAGTCGCAGAAGAGCCAGTAGTTGTACCCGCTGTTGACCCAGAAACAGGCTCAGGTGCAGAGCAGCTGTCCGGAGAGGGGGAGGTTTCTAGGGAACAGGGTGGTCTGGTTGAACTTCCTAGAGAGGTCACTGTTACTGTTTTACCAGATGTGGCAGCTGTGATTTTTGGAGACCAAACTACATTCACCCCAGAAATAACTTCAGAACCTAGCACGCCAAAATACTCCACACACTACTCCCTTGCTTCCACAGCTGACAAGAAACATCCCACCGAGCCGGTATCCACAACCCCTGAAGACCCCTCAACTACCACAACTCCCACCGAGTACCGGACTGGGCAGTCCCCCACAACCTCCACACAGTCTGTAAGCCATTCGCCCTTGTACACTTTCGACCATAGCCCCAACTCCGTCCCCCAGTGGGCTCTGATCCCGGACCCCTCTGCCACCTCTCTACCGGAGGATGATTCTGTGGACTACGACAAAGAGATAGTCGGTCCCCTGCCTGAGTCGCTCCCGAGGAGACCAGAAGAGACCCTGGCTACAGAGCAACCAGAGAGCGGCACTGACCCAGCTTTCTCCGTGGAGGCCAGCACTGTGAATGTCAGAGGTACATGAACTTCATAGTTAGTGGTTTGTTCCTACAGTGGTGTAAACTGTCCCTGGCTGAAAGTGAAATCACCAGCTGTAGCTTCTGAGCTTCAGTCCTGAACTGGGCTTTTCCTGATGTAACCTGCAATCCCACAAAATAATGCAGTTAGCTAATGGTATGTTGGTAGTAAGCTATTTAGCTGGGCATGCTAACATGGACAAACACTCCTAACACTTTTATTCTTGTTTTTAAGGTTAAAAATAGACACAAAACCTCCAAAATTCCCTTGCTTATTATTACATTTGTATTTCCAATCCTGAACCCTTTGAACAACACTACATTAGAGTTACTGTGTGATTTTAATACATTGTGTCACTTGTGCAGATCTCTTGCCGTGCACGACCGACGTGTGTCACAACGGAGGCTCCTGCTACAAAAAAGGAGCCCAGAATATCTGCGTGTGTGCACCTGGATACACCGGACAGCATTGTGAAACAGGTGCTCGTACTTTTTAACCTCGAACCACAGTGACCTCCCCCCTCCTTACTGACAGATGGATGTGGTTGAATAATAACCGGTGTTGTGTGTCTGCAGATGTTGATGAGTGCCAGTCTAACCCGTGTCTGAATGGAGCCACCTGCCTGGATGGAGTCAACTCCTTCACCTGCCTCTGCCTGCCCAGCTACGCAGGAGAGCTCTGCGAACAAGGTCAGTTGCACCCGAGTGTCCGAGTGTTTCTGCAGTCTTTGGCAGACAGATAGTGAAAGTCCACTTTCAGCTTGAATTATTGTAGAAGTACTGCAGGAGGTACTTGTACTCTTGTATTCCCATTTTCCACTACAGTTCAGAGGGAGATATTGCACAATATTTACCTCACTACATTTGTGTGATAATTTAAGTTACTTTGCTGATTCAGATGAACAACACAGGAATCTGCACTGTAGGAGGTCCTGAAGAATCTGCAGCTGGTCAACTTCCTTTATATGTTCTTCCAATGTTTGAGTGGGTTTCCTCCACTTATTGAAACACGTATGTTGGTTTAATTGTCCAGTCAGCACCTTTATTGATCCCAGGGTAGCAAGAAATAAAGGATCGGCATCGCTCCTGTATTGCAGGGTAAAACTAGGAGCTTCTCAGCCATGAAAACACAACACTTTATTGATTGGCACTGCCAATATTAAAAAATCTACACGATAGGTTTCTTGCTTCAAATATCCTCAGAAGTTAATTTAGTTGTGAAATAATTTGGGATGGGGATCATTCAGTTTTACTGCTATCAATACTTTTCTATTAGGGACTGAGGTCCTACCACTGTTTACACATAGCCTAGCTAATTATTCTAAACTTTAAATGAGGCCTTCAAATAACCGTAATCAATTATGAATCATTAATTTGATTTAGCTCCGAGAGAGACGAATAAAGATAACAGAGAGTGAGCAATGGACTCCCACATGACAATATTCACAACTTGGATTCATTTCTATGAAAAAACGTGTTGATCAGTCGACGGTTGTGGACTAAAGGAATACAAATAATCGAGGAACGGACAAATATTCAGACTTCATGACCGGCTGAAGGTTTGGAGTCAGCACTTTCTTTTCGTCACCCTTTCATCAACATGATAGTGAGGCTGTTAGTTTAAGGTAGAAAAGCTTTAATATTTATAGGATATATATATTCAGTGCACACACACAGGTAGACTCAGCGTCTTCAGTCATGACAGTGTTTGTTGCTCGCTGTCTTCCAGCTCTGGGTGTTGGCTCTTCGGCAGATTAGTTCCAGCTTCTCGTCCAATATTTCTGCCATTACTCAGCAGCTAATGGAGGTTCAGACTCTAAGGATTAATATTTTCCAGGGAAATTTACCAGCTTTCTCTCCCAGTATTCTTTGAGCAACAGTAAGATGTTATTACGTTTAAAAAAAAAAATGAAATGATAAGGCCACATTCTTTTTTTTTAATGGTTGGGTTTGATTGTTATTGTACGTCGTAACACTGAACTAATGGCTGATTTAGCATCGTCCATCAGATTTAACAGATTTAATAGTTGGGGTATTATTTCTTAAGTAGTATAAAATGAATTGTTAAAAGGTTTTGTTGGATTGTATTTTCAGTGAACCCGAACTTTTATTCAGCTTGCTGAGAGCACACACACTTTACAGCTAGTTAGATGCATTTTATATACACAAAATACACGTATTTATGTATTTATATCTATTATATATAGGGTACTAAATATATCATTGTTTACAGTTCAACATCATTCGTTTCTCAGGAACAGCTGGTGGAAGATTTAATGTAAAAATACTCCTTTACAAGTAAACTCCTGTCCTCAAAATTGTACTTAAGTTTAAGTATTAACAGAAAAATGTAATGAAAGTATAAAAGTTAAAGTTCCACTGCCACTATGGAAGCAAATGTTTGATTCACATTTTACTCTACAATATATAAATATTACTGATTAATGTTGAGCTGCTGGAGTTGATTCGAGCTATTTTATATATTGTCGGGTAACTAATGTGTAACAATGATTTCTATATTAGATATGCGCCGTAGGCTTTAGCTCAGTTTTAAAGCTATAAATGAAACTAAAAGGCTTAAAAGTCTTCTGAATGTGTGAGAACAACCAGCAAGGAGACTGAA